CCATTCATTAATATATTCTGAGTCCCGGTCTCGGATGGAATTAGTTTTTCTTTTTTGATAAAAATAGAGGGCAGGGCAGAGATGTGGGGGAAGATCTCCCATAACTGTGCAGGCTAATAGGAAGCAGAAATAGAGGGCACTTGCTTGTGTGCGTGTCAATCAATTCACCTCTGAACTTCTTGTGGTTAAAGAACCCCATTCCAGAGAAGCAATTTGTAAACAGTATGGGCTATAACCTGCCGTCGAATTTTAATCACAACTCCCCATTGTCTGTGGCGGGGAGTCCTGTTTAGAAACTGGGGGGACAAGAAAGTTTTAAGATACTACGTGTGCTATAGAAACCACATATTTGGAAATTAGACCAGCAACTCTTATCCTGATCCATAGAACAATTTACTGGTGTTCTGCAGAGAGCTGGCTGGTAATGAGATGGAACTCTCCTTCTCCTTTCCATCTGCCAAATGGCATGAAAAGATGGTGAAAACGACCTTCGATACTTTCCTAATACGACTTCCCCCTTTAAGAAATTATAGTTGCTCCAGTCATGAATGGGAGGGGAGGTGATCTGAACAATTGAAATTAGGAAAGGAGTTGATCCACAAGACAATGTCTCTTATAAAATGAGGTCCATAAGGGAAAAAAATCGGAAAATCCTGGGTTAAACAGACAGACGGGTTATTTAATTAAGCCTAAGTATGTTGCGTTAAGCTATTTCATAGATTTTATTATTATTTACTGATTATTACTGGTTACCAAAATATCTGTGCACAGAGAATAGCCTCCTCCTTTAAGATCTCACCCTTGTTTGAGTTTTTCAATGATGTCGCAACACTGAGGACTCAATTCTGATCTCTGGTGCCTAGCACACAAGCGGGAGCACCACTGGTTTGCGGTTATTTTAGCAATGTTTTAGCAGCAGCATCCGCTCAGAACCATAGCTGTGCCAGGAAACGTCTGTCTGCTAAAAGGCAGATATGTTTGTCTAATACATTTGTAATGGAAGATTTTGAAGAGGGGTTGTGATTTGATTAAATTTGGGAACTTTTAGTCTTATACACTGGTATATGCTTTTGTCTGAAATTGGTGCATCTAGAGCAAATTTAATCATTCCCCTGCTTAAATAAACAAGATACGTGAGTCTGCTCAGCTGTATAGATTTTACACAATAGTGAGTTTTTACACGGTTTTGGGCTAAATCAGTGATCCAGGTACAAAATCCAGCATTCAGGGATATCCAGTGGCTTGTGCCACTCTTAGGTGGACTTTGATTCCACAAACCAAACGATCCATTGGACTCAGACGTAGTTTTCTAAAAGAAATAATAAGAAAAAACTCAATACAAGCTATTAGAACATAAGAAATAGCCATCACTGTATGTAACTGTTCCAGACTGCATGAGAATGTATGAGAAAATACAAATGAATGGAAATCTCTTGTAAGTGAAGAGATATTGTAGTATTTCATGGCATGGGACACCTATTTCTCTCTGAAATTAAACTTTTTCCACTGGGTCATATCACAACTGAGCAACCAGTTTAGGATCAGTTCAGTCCTATCATTCCCTTTGATCCACTGTTGAAGAAGACTAGAAAGAACCTTGCTAAATACAACTCCATAGATCTAAACTATCCTGCAAGCGCATGGAAACCTGTGACTTTAAAGTGGGTTAGAAATTTGCTTTTTGCCTTTGAACTTTCTCCAGAGAATGAATATCAAGGCAGGGATAATGATGATGGTGAGGGTGGTGCTTTAGCAATTCCTTCAATGTTAGCCCATGAACTCTTCAAATGCATTTCACTCTTTCATGCGGAATGTCCCCTTTCCTTCATCTCACGTACTGGCACCATAATAGCGAGATCTTTTATGGAAGGGAAAAGCGAGAGGGGATCTTAATGCTCAGAAATCGGCTTCAAACACTTGATGTGTGTGTCATAATATTGTCCTTTGCTAGGAAAGTAACCAGAGACATAGCATGAAGTTCTAGAGAAGTGGATGCTTATGTCAGGGGATATATATTCTGAAAACCCTTCAGCTGACTGGCTCTCCTGCAATCTCTGCACAGAGTGCAAGTAATTTTGGAAAGGAAGAAAATTGCAAATAATTCAGTCCTAAATTCATTGTACTGAAGCTGTTGGTTAAAACATGTGGATTTCCCCGTGATAACCTGACAGGTGTTTCTCTGGTAAATAAAACGTGGATGATGGACTGTCGATAGATAGATTTAGAGGGTGATGACTAGTAAGATCTTTAATTCTAGGTCACAGATTATTATTAGGCTTTAACCTCCCACTATTTGCATGTTTTAAAGAATCTCTGATCTATCCGCCTGCTCTCATTTAGTGCAGGTGAAAGATTCATGTGTCAGCGGTTCTTATCAATCCTAACGCCATTTGCCTTTAAATGGGAAAGAAAATGTTGTTCAGAAAATTCTCTACAGAGTCAGAAAAATAAGGATTCAAAACCCACACTGTTCACTGCTGGCGTGCACGTCCCAACAAGTCTAGAATTGTTACATCTGTGGGGCAAAACCATTTCTTTTTCCTTGTGGTACTTCCAGACTTCACTAATGTGGGAAAGATACCTAACTATATGGCTCTTTCCCCACTTTGGTGGTGAACATCCAGAGTATGGGCGGAGTTAATATATTTTGTCTCCTTGTTTTACAGAGGGTGTTTTTCTTTCTTTCTTTCTTTTTGTTTGTCAGATATTGGTTCCTTTATTTAAGAGCAAAAACCAGTTCTTGTCTGTCACAGTATAGAAAATCTATCAAACCTGTGTAGCTACTATACTTACTTTTTCAAAAGGTGTATTTTGGATCACACACTAACTGCTTGGGTATTTCGATCAGTCTTTTCATTACACTGTATATTAATAATAGCCCCTAATCTCTAACCTGGACCAAAACGACCCTGCCTCTGTTTAATTATTGAACCTGGAGGGCAATTTTCTGCCATGACTCGTATAAACCCTTGCTGGGTTAAACAGAAGATAAAAATCAATACAATATGGGGAAGCTCTTCTTTTCTCCTAGCTGAGAGATTTTAAGGTTTCTAGTGATGGCTTCCCCTTCCCTCCCCGCATCCTCTATTCATCCTTTTCTTTATGAACCCATGCCATTATCTCAACAGTTTTACTTGGTTAATTGCAGTAAGACCTCTTTGTGATTTTTTTTTAATGCTGAAATTGAATAAATGCTTTCGTTTCTCTAACTTTTCCCATACATTCCCTACTTTTATTCGAGATCTGTAGTCACTTTTGTGTCAGCTATTTCTGTTGTCTCAATATTTTTCCAGGCAGCTAAGCTAACCGAAGTTTGGGACTTTTGTCCCATCTTCTTCATACAGTACATTTGTTTCACTTTTTAAGTTTCCGAAATGTGTTCCGCCCTCCGAAGCGATCGGACACCTTCCGTCCTTACTGGTGTGGTTTGCAAGTTTTCTCCTATACCATGTTCCCTTTCTCTACCTGATTAATTTGAGTTCCTGCTCTACTCGTCGTCTGTTTTCCAGAGCAGAGTTTTCTAAGTCAAGACATTACAAGACTTTTAAGTAATTCCATATCTAGTAGTAAGTGTACATACATGAGTCCCTTCTCATGCCTCGGCAGAAATCTCTCCTTTTTTTCTGCATTAGGATTAGCTAATAATTTACTAACAGAACGGCGCTTTTATATTCACGTTTTAAGACTGATTTTGATTTTAAGATTTTTGCAGAGAATGAATACTGAGAAATTGCCCTGGTGCTTACTTTTACTATTCACTTTACACTGGGTTTAATTTTCCACTGCACTGCGTGGTATTTTATGTATTTTCCTTCTTTCTGTCTTTCTTATGAATCTTAAAACTATTGCCTACAGCGAAAAGAAAAGTGCAAAGATCCAGATTGCAAGATGTGGGATAAAGGCACAAAGGGTCATACCCAAAAAGGGCTGATTACAGTAAAGGTAGTTGTAAAGATTACCTTAAAATACTAATTGTGAATTGTCTTTTTTCCCCCCAGCTGTCATTTCCTGATACATTATTTGCTATGAAATGTAAATAAACTAAACTAAACCAGAATGCTACATTAGGCATTTCCAAAAAGCCACAACCATGAGTTTGTTCTAATTGCCTTTTTAGAATGATTTTAACTGATTCTATCCGATTTTCAAAGTTTTATTCTGGTTGTTACTGGGATCAACGAAAATAAAGAATTAAATACTTGGTTATGTTTAACACACGAGGTGTTTCATGTTGCAGACACACTCTCAACATGTATGCTCAAGCTCTAAATATGCTACAAAGTGGTTGCATCCATAAACTCCTTTCATATTCAAGGTACCTCAAAGCCATTTATAATCAACATGCTCTGTAACTATCTGGTGGTTAAAATAATTTCCCATTCAAATATTTTTCTAACTTTTTAATAACCCTAATCGTTTCAACTTGGGGGAGGAAGGGGGGTTATGTTTGATAGTCACTTTTGTTATTTACACAAGTAATATTTTCCGTGCATTTTATTTGTTTAGTCAAGTATGCTCTTTACAATAAAGTCCTGCCTGCTAATCTCTATTTGCTGACTGACATTTTTGTTTGTTTGTTTCCCCTAGGGTGATATTTGGGGAGGTAGCTTCTGATGCTGCAGCATGACCCTGGGTTGTGTTAACAGTGACCTCAAATGTCTTGAGCATGTCCCCCAAATGTTCCAAATCCTCCTTGCTCCACCGAAAAAGTCAGTCAGTCAGAAATGTTGACGGTTGTTATTTTTTTTTAAACTGGCAGTGTAGCTAGATTAAGCCACTTGGGCTAAATCACATCTTCCGCGCTGGTGCTTTACACAGTTTATTTTTCCTAACTGGAGAACCGCACAGACCCTTCTACCCCAAGTAAACTGTTGAAGTGGAAGGGGAAGATGCTTTGAGGAAATTTACTCAAAATCTCCTGTGACCGTTCATCCGAACTGTATGTCCTTGATTCTCCACTAGAGGTCACTGGCCCATCGCAGTCTAGCTGCACCTAGTTCCACCTCCATTTCCTCTTACTCAAATTAGCACTGCGTTAATTAACACTGTAGTCCATCAACGGGCGTTTCTCTGTACAGTACAGGAGCAGAGCTTATATAGACAAACCAAACCACATATAAAAAGCACCTACCAAAACTCTTCATCATGTACAAAATGGGAAGCGCACGTCTGAGTGACCGAGGGCAAGGTATAGTGCCATCACTCTTTAACTTTTTGTCTTGTTTGCTTGCTAAGTTGCTGTGAAATAAATCTCTTCTCCCTGTGCAGGATCACTGGCGTTTTCACTCCCCTCCTCTGTCTCTCTGAGGCTGCTGGCCAGCACACAGATTCAATGGTGCTCCCAGCCTCAGTTAAGAAAAGGTGCTAGGAATTTGTTCGTCTAGGTGTTGAAAAGAAACAGAAATCAACCTAAAAGGGGAACATTTATTAGAGAATGAAACGATGAAAGGTTTTAATGTTGGCTTTCAATTCGATGGGTGAAATCAATGCAACAAACGGCCGGGGATTTACGACACTAAAATGAACAGATTTCTAATTCCTACTGTAAAATAATTAAAAGGGGCCAGGCAAAAGTGTGTGATAACACTTACTGGAGCAATAGGTGTATACTTTTATTTTATTTTTATGTTCTGTCGCGTGCCTTGTTTCTGAATCCCCGAAAGGTCTTTAAATATCTGTATTTCGTTTGATACCTATGTTTCCAAAAGCAAGTAAGGAGAATGTCCAAAAGCATTTTCCACGTTCGTTTGAAACAAGACCAACTGCTGGTCTCCGGGGGAACGTATGGGAGGTCGGGAGGTAAATTGAGTCATAGATTGGAATAAAAATTCCAGTGATCTAGCTTGCTTGATACAGACAAGTTTATTTAACACGTATTATTGAGTTTGATTACCTCTCTAGGGACAATAAATATTTCTGAAGGAAACAAATTTCAGCAACAATAATAAAGTGGAGTAAATTCACAGATTACATACGACGTATAAAGTTTGGGCCATTGCGTTTTTCTTAGAGAATATACAGTAATCCTCTTGGATTGAGCATGATATGACCTTGAAATGTTCACTTCTTACTGCTTGATATTTTAAAAAAACATTTAGACTTTTTTAAAGGGACCTATGTCGTTTGTATTTAACAAATGTATTTAATTTACCGTATTTATTTTCCGTGTTACCAAACCTGCTTAACAAAATGCTAGGCATATGAATTGTTTTTTCTTTAGCTTTGTATTCCTCTCCTAGAAGACAGGGATAAATCTGTCTTTCCCTGCATTTTAGTTTTTGAAAAAAAGTGTTGATGACTTGGGTCTGTTTCCTTTTGTCCCTGGTTTATCTGGTGCGAAGCGTTTACTGGAGATTAAGTGGGAAGTTGTCATAGGGTTAGGGTCCATGTTTTAGCGGATAATTGTTTAGCTCTGTCCAAAAGAAGGAGAGTGACTTAGACTGATCTCCGGGTCACAGGGACCTTTATAAAGGGGAAGAGACACTCGGATGTCAGAATCAAAAAGCAGCATAGCCCACAGTAAAAAATGCACATTTTTGTTTTCTGACCGTGATCCTTGATTCTTCAATGGCACTTTGTGGTGAAGTTTTCGAAGTGAAACCTAAATCTGCCACATTACTATCTAGCTATAGATATATACACAGAGAGAGATTTTAAATGTCTATATGCTATGTACAGTATGTGTATGTATCCATATATCATTTATACAAATATATACAGCACACAGCATGCACGCACGTAACTTGTTTAAATGGTTCATTCTTCTTTTTCTGAAGATCTATCCCGCAGAACTAGCTAATTAAAATCTGACCCAGGTACATTATAGCTTTGTTGCACAGGTGTCTGTTGTGAATAGCATTGTGTCATAGATTTGGCAGAGACAGGCTCTTATCAGACGGAATTCAAGAGAACTTTCTCTCCCCCCCCCCCTCCCCGCCCACTTCCACCCTACCCCCTTTTTATGGGAATGTGCCTGATTTCCAGCAGGTATCTTTTGTTGGAAAATGATTAAGTGCAGAGTTGCTTGGGAACGTCTGTACAAGAGAAAGGACCCTTTCTTGGACTAGATGGAGGACAGCTCCTATTTCTTCACTTCTGATGCAGCTCATCTCAAGAGAAGACCCAGGTGCACGAAGGAATGGGCTCCCCTGGCAGGAGTTCTTGCAAGACACGTGCCCAGAATGCTTGCTCATTCCAGCTTTGCACCTTTAAATAAGATGCTAGACGCTTAGCATTATATATGTGTGTGTATCTATCTATCTATCTATATATACACACACACATATAAAAGTGGGTTGCTGGTCTCGATCTCCCAAGTTGCTGAGCACTTCCTGCCAGACTCTAGCCGCCCTCAATATCAACTTCAATGGATCTTAAAGGCACTAAGCACATTGGAGAGCAATTGTTTTATGCAATATCAGATACCTTTGTGGATGTGCATTTTGCACAAAACCCACAGGAAAGTCTTTGGGAAATAACATTTGTCATTTCTTTCCCATGGGGGAAAACTCTCCTTCCCAGAATATATCAGAAAGTGCCACCACCAAAAAAATTCCAACTGAAGTCTATTTTATTTAGCTGTTCACGTGCATCTAACAATCGCAACGATATCAAATAAAAGATATTAATTATAAAGCTCAGATTTTGGTTTGATTTCTTCTAACATTTCGGATTAGAACGATCAGTTTGGTACTTTTCTATTTTGCAGTGTAATGTTCTCTTTTTAATTTGTTCAAACGCGGTATTTGGTTTATCTGGTCGCCTTTATTTCTTTATGTAGAGAATCTTAATGTGTCATAAGGCCCTTTCTCATTTTCTCATTCTGAATGTTATAAAGCACACCTTGATTAGCAGGTATACCTCAGACACAGAAAAGGACTCAAAACTTTTGGGAGGTAAACCAAATACAATTTAAAGGCCCTTCTTGTGGCCATTGAATTCAATAGGAATTTTGCCTTTGACTTCAGTTGGCGCAGAACTGGACCCACATGTGCAAATCTTAAAAAGTCGAACACCTACAACCAAGGAATTTTCAGAAATTCTCATTGTATTAATTAATTAACATATATATTTATGCCTATATTGTTTTCAGCATTCAAAAACAGCTAATCTGTTTCTGGGCATGTCAAAAACAGCTAATCTGTTTCTGGGCATTAACATATATATATATATATATATGAGATAAATATCCTCAGCTACTCCATACATGTCCTGACTATAGCTACTGTACAATTAAGGGACTCGATCTGGCATTCCTTTTTCAGGGACAACGTCCATTGAAGTTAATAGAAGTTTTGCGTCAGCAGAAATTGAAGGACGGAGCTCTATTTTTAATTGTGTTAAGCTACCATAGACGAAAATAATATATTTTACTTTTCTAACTTATTTTTGTTTAATCGATTTAATCTTATGCAGATCGGAATAATATAGTGTCATCTTTTTAAAGATGAAGTCTCCGACGACTTCACAGGAGAGTTCTGCTTAAAAATCGATGACATGATATGACCAGTACTTACTAAGCAATAGGATTTTTGCTATGGTATTTTTGTTGACTGCACATCGAGACTGTATTGTCCATAGAGAGCATCGCCAACTGCAAGCACAAATGCAAACGTACTAAGAGCAGAGTAAACCTTTCAGTAGCCAAAGTAGTAATAGATAAGAGAGAACACAATTTTAAATAATTTCAGAAATAAAGCAGAACTTTAAAACTGGTTGGACTGTCTCTGTCTCCATCAAAACAGCTTCAAAGAAAACTCATGGTAAATCTCATTCCACTTGATAAGATTCATTATACTTAATAAAATAGTGAATAATACTATTAATGGACAAAAAACCCAATACTATTAATAGACAGAAAAAAAACGGGGTTTAATAAATCATGTAAAATTAAACATTTTTTTGTCTTAAATCTCGTTTGCAAACACTAGGAAGTCATTTACATTCACTTACATTTGCTTTTTAGAATCAAGTCTCCAATTGTAATCATAAACTGGCTTTAGAACTACCGTTTTTCAACCAGAAGACAAACTATTTTAGACAGAATCAAAGCAAATGGGCCCAATCCTGCTCCCATTTCATTATTTTAAATGGAAAATCTCCCAATGACTTCAATGGCAGTAAAACCAATCTGATTATTTTTCTCCACCTTTTTGTCTCGTGAATTCTTAAAGATCGACAGCAACTCATTTCTCTCGTCGCTGCAGTTGACATGCCCAGAAACAGATTAGTTGTTTTTGAATGCTGAAAACAATATAGGCATACATTGAAAAGTATGACGTCGTTACTGTATATATAGGTACTGCTTTGGAGAAGAATAAACCTGAATGTGAACTACCTCAGCAAGAAATATACACCGGGCAACTGATGGTCCAAAGTAAAGTTAATGTAGTCATTGGGCATTTTTTATGAAACATGTAAGGAAAAATTACTCTGCTAATTCCCGGAGTTTGAATGATAATCTGTCGAAATGTTACATGTTTCGGATTATGGCATGTTATAAAACAATATTCAGACACTCGTTATCCAGCAGTTTGCAACATATTAGCATTTCTGTGTGGATTTTTTTTTTTTTTTTTTTTGGTGGGAGGAGGGGGGTTAAGCGAGTTCAGCTTTAAAACTTAATTAAAGCAAATTTTAGGATTTGAGTGGAAAGCCAATAAGTTAAATTATGAGGAAAGGATTAGATAACCATTTTAATGAAAAATATGTAGTTCAGGTAATTTTATTATGATATAATTTAAATATTAAAATAACTTTATACATAGTTATATGCAGATATTTATACTCATTACGTTATGCACTTCGCATAATGCCAAAATCTGGGGGGGGGGGGAAATAAAGATTATCCTAGGTTTATAACATTATATAGAGGGTTAAATTATTTATTTCACAATCATTTAATTTCGTTTTCCTTCTACATCAAGCAAACGTCACTTTTATTTTGATATAACCAGTCTAGTTTTAAAATAAAACTAACTTCCTGTTTATCCATTTTAGTTCACGATCATTGATACAATCGCTCTTTAATTTAACTCGGTTATTTTGAAATAGAAGATGCCAGGTAAATTCATCTTAAAACATAGCGTCAAAGTCTTTGTACTTTAATGTTTGCAATCCCCCACTCTGTGCAGACACATACCACTTACATAACTCGGCACGAACCACAATCTTGCAGATGTGCTATGC